TTGAGTGGCATTCAATTCTTTGTTTTTTTGAAGTTTCCAAACCACTATGAACCGATTTTTCCTGCAGATTCTAAAGGTGTATTTTTCAAGGCGCTTGCAGCCAAACTGTCTGAGTTACGGTAGGTTTTCGGTTTTCGTCGCGGGACCCAAACTTACGGAATTCAAAATTCTTCCAAACCTAGTCATGATTATACTCATTCGAACCGGCTTGACTTGCTGATTCTAACTGTATAGTTTTCCTTCGTCTGGGATCAAAACTGACAAGGATACGGTAGATTTTTGGTTTTCGTGTTGGGACCCAAAAATCAAAATTTTTGAGAGTTTAGTCATGATTATACACGTTTGAACCGGCTTGATTTGCTGATTTCAATGGTATATTTTCCAAGAGTCTAGGATCAAAACTTACTGAGTTACGGTAGCTTCAAGGTTTTCGTTTCGAGACCCAAACTCACGAAATTTAAGATTTGTCTGAACCTAGTCATGATTATACTCATTCGAACCGGCTTATCTTGCTAATTTCAACCGTGTAGTTTTCCTTCTTCTAGGATCAAAACTGATTGAGTTACGGTAATCGGGTCTCGACTCAAAAATTTCAAAACTACCGTAACTTGCTTAGTTTTAATCCTAGCCTTATGAAATGTATACAGTTAGAATCAGCAAGTTGAAACGGTTTGAACGAATATAGGTATCGCTGAAATTGGAAAATTTTGGTGTTCTGGATCTCGACGCGAAAATATCAAAACTGCCGTAACTCGGTTAGTTTTGGTTCTAGTCATATGAACTTTATACAGTTAGACTCAGCAAGTCAAGACGGTTCGGATGATCGTTTTCATGGAAATTACTGTAGTCTTCGTGTTTTCGTTCCAGGACCCAAAACTTCGAAAATCCTCTGAATGCATTTGGAACCGATTTTTTTTGCTGTCCAAAACAAAAGACTATACAATCTAACGATATACTAACTAACCAATGTTTTTACATCTAATTGAACAATATAAGCCCAGATCACCGGTAAAAACTAGCCTGAATGCCTTAAGATATAGGCCTGAATTGCCTAGAAGACAAGCCTATCCAACCTAAAAACTAACTAACCTAAAAAAAAAACTGGGCCCGGTAGATTCAAATTAAGCCCGAATCCCCTAAAAACTGGTTACCTGAAATCCCAAATTTCTAAAATTCCCTCATTTCCTCCACCCAAGTTACCAGATCCATGAAAACGCAACTAAGCTTCCCGACAAGACAAAAAAGCGTCATTGTTATCCTACCCCAGCCACCCCTCCCCAAACTTGTATCATCTCTTCGTCTACTCGTGTCCACCACCCTCAAATATCACTAGGTTTTTGGTTCTTCTTCTATCCCTAAAAAGATACCCGCTGATCGCTTATCTCCTTCTCTTCCATTAACGCTTATCTGTTTGTCAGTATCAAAGGAGAGAGACGGCTTCTTCTTCTCCCGTTTTTCCTAACTTTTTCTCTCTCCCGATTCTCGGATATTTCAACATCCGCTTGACCATCATCCCATCATCATCCTCATAAACATGTCAAAATAATTGGCTAAAAATGGAAAATGATGCATTTTAATAGAGTTTTTGATTGAATTCCTTTGATGAAACTTGATGATTTTCCTTTAGAGCTTAAGGGCACTGGATTCCTGTTTTTTTTTAGGTTTATGAGTCACTAGTTAGCCAGTTTTTTAGTCTGGAGGAATGGATTTTGTTATCAAATTGAGGGGGATTTATTTATTTAGAGAGCGGTGATTTATTGATCTTCATGGTTTTGGCGTTTTGGTGATTGATCAGTTCTTTGGATTTTTTTCTAGAGCTGAAAATTTCCCTGCATTCGCCTGTTAACTAAGCGGTCTAGACAAACCTGGAGCCAGTATCATGATAGTCATGATGATTTTTTCTAAACTAACTAGAACGCGCCGATTTCAACAATCTGGGTTTCATAGTGGTATCATCACAACTGACCGAAATACGGTGTTTTCGAATTTTCGCGTCTAGACCCGAAATTTCAAAACTTTCAAATTTAGTCATGATTATACTCATTCGAACCGTCTTGATTTGCTAATTCTAACCGTATGATTTTCCTTGAGCTAGGGTCAAAACTGACCGAATTACATACTCATTCAAACCCCCCAAGTTCATACAGGTTCCAAAGTTTTTTTTTTGAAAATTGCTTAGTAACCATGATATGGTAGTTTCTAGGTGCATGCGCCTTTAAGAGGTAAAAATCAGAAATATCCAAAAACTAGTCATGATGATACTCATTCGAACCGGCTTGATTTGCTGGTTCTAACCGTATAAAGTTGATTGAGCTAGGATCAAAACTAACCGAGTTACAGTAATTCTTGGGTTTTCGTGTCAAGACAACTCTAGTCATGATTATAGTCATTCGAACCGGCTTGATTTGCTGATTGCAATCGTGAAAGTTTCATAAGGCTCAGGGCAAAACTGACTGAGATACGGAATCTTTCTGAATTTTTATCTTGACGCGAAAACCTAAAAACTACCGTAACTCAGTCAATTTTGATCCTAGCCTCATGAGAATTATACGGTTAGATTCAGCAAGTCAAGACGGTTCCGGTGAGTATGATCATGACTAGGTTCGCAGATTTCATTACCTGGGGCTCTCGTCACGAAAACCAAAACAACTACCGTAACTCAGTCAGTTTTGATCCTACGCTCATGAAAATGATCCGATAAGAGTCAGCAAAAAACTGTGGTGGGAAGGGTCTTAAAAAAATATTTTCAATACAAGTTGCACTTTTCCACACTTGCTTACCTACCTCCTTACCTTTTCCTCCTTACACTAGAGGTATGTAAAAAATTATAGTATCAAAAGTTTTTTTTTGTGATAATGTCCTGTTTATTTCATCATTGTTCCTGTTATAAACGAAATATTTCGAAATGAATAACATGAAACATGTAAGACTAGAGTCACAGAACGGGTGAATTAGCAAAAATTCAATAATTCTGAAAGTTTGAGCATTAGTTTGAAAAGTACACCTTAGTGACCGCTGGATTACAGTCCCTCATCAGCAGACACCCCCTTCAAACTTCTGGACAAAAAAAAAGTTACATTCATAATCCTTGATTCTCTTATCCATTCTTCCTTTCTCTTTCAAAATTTTCTTCAGAATCCTTTTGAATTCCAACAAAAAACATCTCCTCAAGTACACCAATACATCCCAAATGTTCCTGGTCTAGAGTCGAGACCCCTAGTCTGAACGGTTTCTACTACAAAAACCAGACACCCTGGTCAAGAATACATCATCATGCTTCTTTTTATGCAACAGAATCCATCAATTTCTTCTACTTCAAGAAGGGAGTACTCTTATCCCACTTCTTCTAGTCAAGTACCTTTTGATTCTCGTCCTTTTTGCATATATGTCTCTTCTTTCACTTCTTCCTTCGAACATGTTCTTCTTCTTGTCCACCCCCGGTTGCCCCCAGTCCCCTCCTCCTCCTCCTCCACGGTAGCCCCCCTCTTCCCCTTCACTGTATGTTATAAACTGGATAAGCTTGTCGTCTCCCGAACAAGGAATGGCTTTTGCTTCTTGTCTCTTATTTCTCTTTTCCTGGGGCGTCACCCCCAAGGGAAATTTTATCACAGATACGGATAGATACTTCTTCTTCTTCTTCTTGACCACTTTTCGTGACCAGGGGGAGGCTAGGGGAGGAGTGTCTGTCACTTTTTTGGGTTGGGTATCCTGATTTTTTGGGAAATGATGATTTTTGTCCATTGACTTTATGAACTCTTTTATTTTTAGGATTTTTTTTTTGAATTCTAAGAATTTTTTTCGGGAAATTCGGAATTTTCTGAGAATTGGTTGGCCTAATATTTGGATTTTTCTAATTTTTTTCTGTAATTCTAGAGAATTTTTCTCCCTGATTTTGGACTTCTGTTTTTTTATATATGGCTCTTGGGCATCCTGCTTTTTAGGCTTGGGAACTGAAGATTTTTCGTGGTCCATTTACTTTTTGAACTCTATTTTTGGGATTTTCTGAATTTTTTCTCGGGATTTTCCTGAATAATTTTTTTTTGAAACTTTTCAATTCCTTTTGAAATTCTCTCATTAATTTTTCTATTTCGCGAATTTTAATTTTTTTTTCTAGGGCCCTATCCATGTGACTTTTTTCGAATTTTAAAACTTTTAGAATTTTTTTTTTCAAAAATCTGAAAATCTGAAATCCGGAAATTTGCTGATTCTGAATTTTTTTGTCTGAACTTTGAAATTTTTGAAATTTTTTCCAAATTTTTTTTCGAGTATTGATTTTCTCGATTTTCTGCTACGTCTCACTTTTTCCGCTACTTTTTCTGCTCATCGAGCTTCCGTATATTTCCAACAGTTTTGATTTTCGAGAAATATCCATATTTTCGGAAATTCTGATTTGTATGTGATATATCCCCCTAAAAAATTACCTGAACCTGTTCGAAAAATTACTTCTAATAGAATTTCATTTGCCCCCCTCCATTCCTTTTTTTCTATGCCCTTTTATTAGAGTCTTCGTTCCTCTAAACATCACAATTTTCAATAATATCTCCCTTCTTATTCCAGATGCGGCGGCTCTGTGCCATCCTGCCAATTCTCCTACTATCCAATTTTTGGCATACGGTAGACGGACTCAATTACAAATGTCACAATGATCAGGTATGCGCCTTTAAAGAGTTGAGGGGGACTGTAGCAATAAGATCCTTAGCCCCTTGCCCCCCAAAAACCCTCCAAAAATTCCAGGTTCTCGTGGTACAATCGTTCGGAAACGACACGATCCGAATGCATTGTCAACGATTGGATTTGTGTGGCTATCAGAAATTGAAGTGCGACTACGACGAGCTTCAACCACAGTGTGGTGGTAAATTGAACTTTGTGGCACACGTCAATCAGAAGGGATCTACTGCGCCGTGAGTTTTGAGCCCATTTCGAGCCAAAATTGAGCCTCCCAGAGCCTTGTTTGACTGTATTTGATCTCCAAATAATGTATAAAAAAAGAAAAAAAGATTTACCCCAGGTGGGGGTCGAACCCGGGTTGCCGATTTCAAAAACAGGAGTGCTAACCACTAGGCCACGGGGTGCAATGGCAGAGAAGGAGGGGAGGGGGTAGAGGTGGCCGCGCTTTTTGGTGTGGCGCGCCAAGGGGGGGGGGAGACTGTAAAGGTAGTGTATGGTGTACTCTAGCGGGGTACGGTAGAGGGGTACTGTAGAGGGATACTGTAGGAATACTATAAGGATACTGTAGGACCTGAAGGGTCAAGATTGCTATTAACTATCGAGAATTCAAATCTTCTTCATATAACATTTGCACCGTCCACCAATTTCCAGAGTAGAGCACACCTGCTGTAACCTGTTCAACCCGCGATCCCATCACTCGATTCCTACGCATATAGGAAACGACTGCTTCATCTACGAACTACCGGATGGGTCGTCGAATGGAAAGAAGGTCGATCCGGCGCCAGCCGACGATGCTCCGTATGCGGTGTTGAAGGTAAGCCGGGGACCTGGGGATTTTGTGGAAATTTGGAATTTTAGAAACTCTAGAAAGCCCAAAAACCCAGAAAATTCCAGCTTTTCTAGCACTGAACATCGCAAAAAAAAAGAAAAAATCCGGAATTTCAGTTGATTTGAAGCCCAAAACTGCGAATTTCGGCTCCATTCAGGGAGTAAAAAGTTTTGACAGTAAGAACTTTTTTCGTGGCGAAACCCTCGATGCGCCTGCAACCCCAACTAAAGTCCCTGCTATCTTGGGGTCAGCCTAGCCCAGCCAAACCTAACCCGGCTTAAAATTGCTCAGTCTAGTCTAACCTAGCCCAGCCTAGCCCAGCCTAGCCCAGCCTAGCCTAGCCTAGCCTAGCCTAGCCTAGCCTAGCCTAGCCTAGCCTAGCCTTGCCTAGCTTTGCGCAGCCTAGCCCAGCCTAGCCCAGCCTAGCCCAGCCTAGCCCAGCCTAGCCCAGCCTAGCCCAGCCTAGCCCAGCCTAGCCCAGCCTAGCCCAGCCTAGCCCAGCCTAGCCCAGCCTAGCCCAGCCTAGCCCAGCCTAGCCCAGCCTAGCCTGGTCTAGCCTGGCCTAGCCTGGCCTAGCCTGGCCTAGCCTGGCCTAGCCTGGCCTAGCCTGGCCTAGCCTGGCCTAGCCTGGCCTAGCCTGGCCTAGCCTGGCCTAGCCTGGCCTAGCCTGGCCTAGCCTGGCCTAGCCTGGCCTAGCCTGGCCTAGCCTGGCCTAGCCTGGCCTAGCCTGGCCTAGCCTGGCCTAGCCTGGCCTAGCCTGGCCTAGCCTGGCCGAGCCTAACCTGTTCTCGAAACCCATCAATTAAAAATTCACCACAGAACCCAGCCGAGATACCTGAACAGTTTGACGGCGTCACCGGCTATCGCCTTCGCCTCTTCCTCCTCAAAAATAAGTCGCCACCCACTCTTCTCGTCAAAGGAATCGAACGTCGTCTGTGAGTCTCTTCTCTTTTCTCTCTCTCTCTCTCTCTCTCTCTCTTTCTCTCTCTCTCTCTTTTCACTTTCACTTTTGGAATGTTGCAGTGACGGATACCGAGTGACCATCTGTCGGCCGAGATGTACTTCATACGATAAAGTCGTCAATGACAATGAGGTAAGAAAACGACAGAGATTTACCGATGGGGGAGAAACCGGGAAAAATGGAAATCCATGGGGGAGAAAGTGAAATGAATTATCGGGATTTTTTTTGGAAGAGAAAAAAATTTTCGTGACGAGACCCGGAATACAAAAAGTACCGTAACCCCGTATCAGTTTCGGGCACTTCGGAGTCATTTCAGGCACTATTCAACAGGTTCGAGGGGTACTGTAGTTTTGTTTTGTCGAAAAAAATTTTTTCGCGTCGAGACCCAAAATTTCCAAATTTTCATGATTTTCAAATATAGACATGATTATACTCATTCGAACCGGCTTGATTTGCTGATTCCAACGCACTATTTTTCATTGAGCTAGGGTCATAATTGGCTGAGATACAGTAGTTTTTGGGATTTCGAGGTAGGACCCAAGATTTAGAAAAATTTCGAAAAATTTCCGAACCTGGTCATAACGCCGAATGTAGTCATGATTACACTCATTTGAACCGTCTTTATTTGCTGATTCCAACGCATCATTTTACAAAATGCTAGGATCAAAACTGACTGAGTTACGGTAGTTTTTGGGATTTCGTGCCGAGACCCAAAATTTCAAAAAATTCCAAATATAGTCATGATTATACTCATTCGAACCGGCTTGACTCACTGATTCCGACGCACTGTTTTTCATGAAGGATCGAAACTGACTGAGTTACAGTAGAAATGGTGTTTTGGGTCTCGACACGAAAACACAAAAACTACCGTAATTCGGTTAGTTTTGATCACAGCTCAATGAAAAATGTACAGTTGGAATCAGTAAATCAAGCCGGTTCGAACGAGTATAATCATGACTAGGGTTCAAAAAATTTCAGATTTTGGGTCTCGACACGAAAACGCAAAATCTACCGTAACTCGGTCAGTTTTGATCGCAGCTTCGTGAAAAATATACGGTTAGAATCAGCGAATCAAGGCGGTTCGAATGAGCATAATCAAGACCAGGGTTCAAAAAATTTTTTGTTCCGGGTCTTGGAACGAATGGACTACTGTAGCCCAAAAATCCGAAAATCGATACCGTACCCCACATCAAATCTTCCAGGGCGCCGAAGAAAGCGAATGGAAAGCAATCTCCTGGAGCTCATGGAGCTCCTCCTCCTGGAGCACCTGGGCCCGACACGCCTTCAACAAGGCCGCGGCGGAGAGTGGCTCCGTCGACCGTATTCGTACCCGGATGCCAATTGGAGAAAAGTCTTCTGGAGGAGCCGAAGCAGCTGGAGTCGTCACCGGAGGAACTGGTGCCACAGGAGCCGCCGGATTCGACAAGAACAATATCAATATCCACGTGGAGTCCAACGGAAATAACCATAACAATTTCGGAGGGTCCGGAGAAAAGGGCGGATCCTCAGGTGAGGGTCTGAACCGCGAAGGATCCTCTGGAGCCGCTGAAGGAGCTGGAGCCGAAGGCGCTGGATCCGGAAGGGCCGGTGCCAATGGATCCGCTGGAGCTGGAGCCGGAGCTGGTGGAAATATCAACATCACAGTTCATACCGATGGAAAAGGGGGAGCTGGAGGGAATGCCGTGGCGGTGGCCAATGCCAATGTGACGGTTAATGGTGCTGGAGGAGCTGGAGCCGGTGCCAATGGATCCAGTGGCACTGGAGGAGCTGGAGGAGCTGGAGCCAAAACCAATGGAGATGGATCTGGAGCCGATGGAGACAAGGATCATGGGAAGGACAATGGAGCCGGAGCCGGAGCCGGAGGTGCCAAAGGAAAAGGAGAATGGGACGATGGAGATGACGAAGATAGTGGATCCAATGAAGCTGGGGGCGGAGCCGGAGGGCCAGAACCAGACGACAAGGACGGCAAGGACGGAAAGATCAAGATCAACATTCACTCCCCGGATGATAATGACCTCCTGGAGACCGATGAGAATGGTCCTGGAGGGAAGAAGAATGGGGGCGGAGCCGGGGACGGGACCGGGGACGGCAACGGCAAAGATGGATCCGGCAAGGACAACGGAGACGGCAACGGTAACGGCAACGGCAAGGACAACGGCAACGGTAACGGAGATAAGGACGGCAACGGCAAAAATGGTTCCGGCAAGGACAACGGAGACGGCAACGGCAACGGCAACGGTGTCACCGACGGAGGAGATGGAGGAGATGGCCAAAGCAACGGCAAGGACAAGAATGGAGCAGGAGCCGGTGGAGTCGATGGTGATGGAAATGGCACCGGAGACCGTGAGGGAGGTGATGGAGATGGTAACGGCAACGGAGATGGATCCGGCAAAAATGGATCCGGCAAGGGCAAGGGACCAGGCGGCAATGGAGACGGCAACGGCAAAAACGGAGCTGGAGCTGGAGCCGGAGGAGCCGGAGCCGGCAACGGCAACGGCAACGGCAACGGCAACGGCAACGGCAACGGCAACGGCAACGGTGACAAGGACGGCAAAGGCAACGGAGATGGAGACGGCAAGAGCAAGGGACCAGGTGCCAACGGTAATGGAGACGGCAAGGACAAAAATGGAGCTGGAGCCGGAGACAAGGACGGAGCTGGGGCCGGAAAAGGCAACGGCAAGGGAGACGGCAAGGACGGAGCAGACAACGGCAAGGGACCAGGCGGCAATGGCAACGGTGACGGCAACGGCAAGGATGGGACTGGCAACGGCAAAGACAACGGCAAGGACGGTACCGGCAAAGATAAGGATGGATCCGGCAAGAATGGAGCCGGCAAAGGTAAAGATGGTGCTGGCAAAAACGGATCCGGCAAAGGAAAGGACAACGGCAAGGGCAAAAATGGTGACGGCAAGGACGGATCTGGCAAGGGTAACGACGGCAAAGGAGACGACAAGAACGGAGACGGCAATGGCAACGGAAAGGGCAAGGACAACGGCAAGGGCAAGGGCGACAAGGACAAGAATGGAGGCGGAGCCGGAGCTGGAGCCGGAGGAAAGGGCAGTGGTCCTGGAGCTGGAGCCGGTGGAGCCGGAGCCGGAGCAGGCAAAGGAGCTGGAGACAAAAATGGAGCCGGAGCCGGAGCCGGGGGCAAAGGAGCCGCCAACGCCGGCAAGAAGGGATCACCTGATGGGTAAGTAGCTTGTGGGGCGGCAGGGGCGGGGCCAGGGGTACGAGTAAGCGGAGCCAGATAGGGTAGGCCCAAATAGCGGGACTGCCCTTGTACTGTGGGCGGAGCCTAAAAGTAAGCCTAAAAGTATAGGAGCCATTCATTCTATTTTGAATTCCCGCCAATCTTTTTAGCCGAAAAAGTGGGCGGAGCCTAATAGGGTAGTCCCAGATAGCGGAACTGCCTTCTGGGGTAAATGGAGTTCAAAGAGACCAAATAGAATTTTGAATTCCCACTAACCCTTTCGAGAGAAAAAGTGGGCAGAGCCTAAAAGGGTAGTCCCCCGCTAACCAGTCCTCCTAGGGAACCAGTGGGCGGAGCCAAATAGGGTAGACCCAAGTAGCGGAACAGCCGTTTTACTATGGGCGGAGTCTAACAGAGCGGGGC